CAAGAAAATCTACTCCAACTCAAATAACGATATCTCAACTGGATTTAGATAGAAAGCTTTATTATAGATTGTATTTAATGTTATCCTGGCCAGCCAGACTGACTCTTGTCCAGGTAAGGCTATGTAAATACTCTTCGGTATAAAACACAGTGGACACTAGACTGTCATCAGGCGATTTAAAAAACATTGCTGTTAATCTATTCTCACAGTTGAGTTGGGAGCTGAGTCTACTAATGATTACTTTTGCCTTGATAGCATGATCTGGCACGGATTTATATCTGGCGCAAATGTATATCTGAGGGCAAGAACAAATCAGTCTTCCAACCTGTGTAGGCCTACTGTGAAATTACCATATAAAACGTGACGCGCTGATATGGATGCAGCTATAAGCACAGCTCTATCAGAAAGAATGCATTTGATTGTATCCCCTCGTAAAGACAGATAAATAGTCAAAGACATAACATCTGATTTCAAGACTTGAGAAATTTGAGCTAGAAACATTTCTTCTTTTCTTTCTTCTTCCTTTTTTAATATATGTTTGAACAAGCAGTATAATTTGAGTAAAAGACCAGAAATCCTAGCTGTATTTGACAGTTGAGGTTGTTCAACAGGATTTTTTTGTCAGCTCAGCTTCCTTATCTGCCAACGGTTTTAAGTTTGAGCTCAGGAATAAGGTAAATGACACCTCTATACCTGAGTCCACCTGATTAAACCATCCTTTTACTCGTTAAGAACAGAGGGACTAAGAGCCATGGCAGGACAGCCAAATCAGTGGATATCGAACAATCTGCATCTAGAGCTTCTCCTATTTTTCCTGTGGACCTATTGTATCTATGCAGAAGGTTAGTAGGCTACATAGAGCTTGATTTGCTTCCTATGTTAAATTTCAGTTTTAAACTTTTTTTTTTTTTTTTTAGAAAGTCACCAACTGTGTTTTTCCTTTGGTTGCTTTGAGTCAAGCGACATCTTCCTTGATGTGACATTGGATGACGATATAGTGTGTTATGCCGATTCCAAAAACAAAATTGGTGTTTGGGACAGCAAAATACCATCAACTTATTTTGCAGAGGGTAAAAAATATTTTGAGAGGTGCCAAGCACAGTGTAAAAAAGATGTATATCGATGGAAACCGGACCCAGATGTAAAAAGAACCAAAGGTAGGCAAAGTTCTGCACTTTTGTTGTTCTCCAGTGACCTCTTTTCAGCATAATAAATCCAGCATGTTCGGATTAACTGGTTTGGAAATTATTTTTTAGTCCCACCAGAAGTTATTATTTACCCCAGAAATGAGGTAACTGAAGATGAAGAGAACACCCTTGTGTGTTTTGTTCGCAACTATTTCCCTCCTGCTCTCAATATCAGTTGGACCAAGAATAACAAAGAGGTGGCAGTGGAAGACCCCTTCTTCAAAATTGTATCCAACTCTGATGGGACATTTCATGTCTTCTCCTACCTGAACTTTGTTCCAAAGCAAGGAGACATCTACAGCTGCACTGTAAAACATGAGGCACTAGAGGAACCTGAGACCAGGTTTTGGGGTGAGACCTTTTTTCTTTCTTTACACTTAGTGAATAAAATTGATCAAAACTTAAATTACCTTTATTTGTGTTTTAGTTAATGCAATACTTTATATCATATTCTAATTCTTTTTAGACATTGAAAGAAAAGAGGAGAGGAGTATGGGTCCTGCTGCCTTCTGCATATTTGGTTTGATTTTCGGGTTTCTTGGTATTGCTGCAGGAACTTTCCTTTTTGCGAAAGGAAGCCAGTATTCTTTGAGCTCAGACCTTGCTCTTTGATATTTAGCTATCTATTTAGCTATAGAATCTACTTTTTACAATTTTTGTCTACTGTTACTGTAAGCTTAATGTTCACAAAGTCATTGTTGATTTGAATGAACGGACTTATGCAGCATTGTTACATCCCCAAGATGGATGTAATTCTGTTTTTGCTTCTAAGTGATACCTTGCTCTATTTAGGCTCCACCTCAAAGATTAGGTTCTGCTTCCTGGGTCTTTTAATGTGCTGCTATTTAACCTGCTTGATGGTTTTGGTTGGGGAGAGTTACCTTTCTGTTTAAGCCCAGTTTTCTCATGTTTATGTGCTTGCTAGGTAAAAAAATTTACGTAAGTGAATAGATCCTTGGTTTTCCTGTTCTCCTTTTGTTTAGTAATTATTGTTTGTGCATATTCAACAACCTACTGAAATAGAACATGTGCTACTTAATAATAAAAAATAATGAGTGGTTATTATTTTTGGTCACGTTTGTGTGGGTGTTTCTTTGTCTGTCCATCCATCTGTGCACAGGATGACTTGAAAAGACATGAACGGATTTATCACATTTTTACCAAGGTGCACCTCAGTCCAAGGAATAATCCATCATATGTTGGTAATGATCCACATCCTAATCTGGATGCAGGATTTTTTTAAAGGATTGTTTAACATAATTTAACGGAACAAGCAGTTCCCTCCCAACCCGGAGGGTGGCAGCGGTGATCATTGACAGCTTCAGCATCGGTCTTAAATAAGTCCAGAAGTATTATGCTGAAGACAAGAACGCAGGAAAGGTGAGCCATGCCTCACTCGAAGTCTCAATATGCTGATCAAACAAGAATGCAGAGTATAGAGGTAATAAAGGAGGTGAGAGCAGAACAAACACCACAGGCTGCAGACACACAATACGCCTTATTTATAAACTTATAAGAGGATTTTAAGGAAGGTACTTCATGCCAATGAACAATTCATAAAAATTTGCTAATGATCCAGATCATGTGTGAGTTTTAGTTATTGGTGGAAGTCACTATATGGGGCAATATTAGTGCTCTTACTTTACTCATGAAATAGAGTGGTCAAAGAAATGAGAACCCCCTTATCTGTTTCAGAACAAAAAAAATGTAGTTCACCTTTGTTATCAGTATCAGTTCAACCAAGAATATAATAGAAGTGACAAAGAGAAGAGAATTTAAAAAAAACAAGTGATAATAGGGGTTTTTACAAATTCATGTGAAAGCAAGTGACAATATATGCCAGCCAAAATAATCACTAAAACAGGAACAGGGTTATGGGAACTCATTACTAGAATATAGGAAGTCAATAAGCAGAGGAAATTGATCTACATGTTTTGTTCTCTGTTCTGTGCATTAGTATATCACTGCATTCTACCTAGGATATTGGACCTCAAATTTTAAAAATCAAACTAGCCTTGAGAGGCTTGCTCATGGTTAAGAGTGAAAAAAGATTTCCTTAATAATTCCAGCAGATGAAACATATTTCGTTGCAGTTAAAAACTCTAACATGTTGTTTATGAATGGAAGTTGTGGAACATTATCTGACTGATTGGACAAATAGTGCAAATAAAGGGAAGATAATTGATGTTGACATTTGGACATCTAGCAACTATATTTAATTCAATCTTGATAATATTTAATGTTCGAGCTGTTTAGTCTCACGAATCTGGTCACCTGATCTCGCTAGTGTAAAATATTTCCAAACAGTGGAAATGACCCTGCTAGGTGGCTGCTAACTGTGGAATAGAAACCCTGAAAAGGGAAAACTGCTTATCTCATGAGACCAGCTTCCAATAACAGAGCATGAAAACCTTTCCACTGTTAGCAGCTAGTTTTATAGCAGAACAACCTTCAAGAACTAGACCTTTAAGCAGATAATATCAAAGCAAAGCCATAGCTTATGGGTCGGACATGTATGCAGCTTGGATCTGTTTAGTATTTGAACCCTGAAACAGTGTCAACTTGGGTAATGAGTTTGCTTGAGGACTCAAATGCAGAGATAAGGGAGGCAGAGATGAGTTCTTGCAGGATAAATGAAGTAACTGAGGCAAAAATCCAAAATACAAAGAACCAAAAAAAACAGAAAACATCAGGAAAAACTCACGTGGGGATCCAGGTGGAGGAAGCAACTAACAACAAGAAAACCTGCATTGAAGAACTGCATGGGGAGAGTACATATGGGAGACAGAAAAAAGACCCGGGTCATCAGATGGTATGGAGTAGGTGTGGATGGATGTTACTAGAAGGGAGCCAGGGGGAAAGGAGACAGGCACAAGGGGGCCACAGAGAGTAACTAAAGACTGGCTTAGATATAAAAAAAATAAAAAAATGGAAAATAACCCAAAGATCAATAAAAAAGAATTACTTGGGACTACTTTTGAGACTTTTGGGGACTATAACAAACAGATAATGAAATTAATTGATCGCTATCCAGAGAAGTGGGGACGATTATAGTTTCCCTAATTTTTTTGGTAGTATTTTCTCAGCATATAATGAAAAAGTGTATAATAATAGTATTAGATTACTAGGGGTTGGGCTTCCTGTTTTTGTCATCTCTTCTTTCAGTCCTCCAGTATTCTAGCACAGAGGCATAATATCACCACAATCCCCTCAAAAAACATCAGAGCCTAGGCCTTATACTGAGTGTCTAGTAAAAAAGTATATTTTCTGTTTCAGATACCCTGTATATAAGGGGGCTATTTGAGATAGTGAACCTGGGTCTTCCAATAATTATAATGTAAATATTAATGTGTCTCAACTTTTTAACTTGATTCCTAAGCCTAAGGAGCTAAAGCATTAAATCGACATAATTCAAAAGTGCTTATAAACCCCAAAGTGAAGGTTGTTGGAACTGATTAACTGGGGTTTTTCCACTGAAATATTGTAGATGCTGCTGCATTTAGGTGCAAAGGTTCTTTCACGCTTTAAAAGGAACAAAAGTTAAATGAAAACAGAAATGCAAAACAAAGGAAAAAAACAAAACATGACTGACTAAAGCATTAAACCAAAACAAAACATGAGAAAACTCAAAAGTTATAAAATAAAGCACAACTTCTGGAAAAGACTTAAGAAAAAAAAAAAGAACTACATAAAAGCATTTGGCATTTTGCTTAAAAGAATCATAAGAGGTATTAATCATTGCTTAAGCATCCGATTTCTTAAATAGAACAACATGGGTTTATTGTTTAGTAAGGCATAACTCTCTTTACTTCCTCTTAGTGTTGAAACAAGTAAACTCTGTCGGTCCAAGTCTGCAATTTTGGTTCTTAGCTGCTGAGGAGAGATGAACACTCAAAGTTTTCTGTTCATTTTCTTTTTATCGCTTGAAAATCCAGGTAAGTTGAATTTATTATCATTTTTATTATTCTGAGCTTTCAGGGGAAAAACCCAATTTACAACTAATTGATTTCTCTTATTTTTCACCAGTTTTCTCACACGAAGATTTTTACCAGGTCAGAGCATACTGTGCGTTTAATGGTCCTAACTTTAACAATATTGAGTACACAATTATGACTAGCTTCAACAAGCAGAATATGATGCAGTACAACAGTACAAGGGGAAACTGGATTGGATTTACACAATATTCACATGTTAATTCATATTACTGGAATAAGGATCCTGCTGATGCGCTTCAAAGAGTACTGCAAAAGAAGCTTATGTGTTATGACAACCTACACCATATCCGAACAATGGGTAATTAACTTAAAGAAATTGAGAATATGAAGTTATGTAAGCCTATTTGCTGACATTACACAGAGAGTATTTTTTGCATTTTAAATTTTTTTTAATAACTAAGCAAATAAATATACAACATTTTAAAACATCACATTTATCAACTTTTGTGTTACTCTGAAGCTGATTCAGCATGTTTTGGAGTAGATTTACTATTTGCTATATGATGCAATAAATCAAACAAGATTCAAATGTGAAAGTTTAGAGCTTTAGTTAAAATTCATAATAAATAACCATGTTTTCCTAGGAAACCTGTCAACAACACCCACCATTAGGATCAAATTTCTTATAAAGCCTGATGGTCGACATCCAGCCTTGCTTATCTGCAGTGCTTATAACTTTTACCCGAAGCAAATCCAACTAACCTGGCTAAGAAATAATCAACAAGTGACTAAAGGGGTCACTTACTCAGATGTGATTCCTGTTGGAGACTTGTACTACCACTTTCATTCTCACCTGGAGTACATTCCAACTCCTGGAGAAAAAATCAGCTGCATGGTTGAACATTTGACAATGTCTGAACCAAGGGTTGTAGTTTGGGGTAAGTTTATTGCTGTCAAGAAAATACTTGGCATTGAAGTCTGAAGGGCATTGAAATTGAAATTATTCCTCCTTTTCTCAATGTTTTAGATGACTCCCTTCCAAAGAAAGAAAAAACTAAGATTGTTGTTGGTCTGATTGGACTGATACTTGGTTTGGTTATCCTAATATCTGGATTTATTTACCACAAACAAAAGTCTGCTGTGTACAACTCGATCTGCCAAGGTGAGGACATTGAAGGGAACAAATTAAAGGGAACCTAAAGAGAATATTACTGTAAGTCTACAACCACATTCCTCAAATTTGTCTTTTTTTCAACAGGACGTGCAGGGAGTGGTGGCCTAGTGACTAGAGCAGAGTGCTTTAATTCTGAGGATGCCGAAAGTACCAAGTGTGAACCCCATAGATTGCTGTTATTGGTCCCTGGGCATCACCCTTAGTCCCAGACTGCTTACCCGGTTTTGTAGCTACTCCCTAGTAGTACTGGATTAGAAACAGAAGACACATTTTGTTGTAGAGTGCCATTGCAATGACAAAAACACATCTTTTTCTGAGGAAGTCCTTCAGAACTGAAATTGTATGTAATAAGCTCAACTATGTGTTCCCCAAAAACATTTTCACCTAACCTCATCAAATGCCAAATAGAAAACACTTCTCCCTATATATGGGGAGATATATATATATATATACATATATATATAATATATATACATATATATATATATTATATATATAATATATAATATATATAAGCCAAGTTCAGGTTTTAGCATTCTTTCACAGGTATTTTACTGGATGTTGTTGGTTTATCTTGTTCCCGCGCTCAAAACTAATCTAAGCCTTATGTGCTGATTAATAGATGTGGGGACAAAGGGAGTTTGGATGAGTTTTTTTTTTCATCACAAATTCATATTTTCATATTAAATTTTTCGGGAAAGACAGAAAATAAACATAAATATTAGATAAAAGTTTAGATCAAGCTTTCACCCTATAGAATTTATCTCCATAAAGGGGTGTAAAAGCAAGTTAAACTGAATACCTGACTGACTTTAATATCTAACAGAGAGACACAGGGACAAATAAAAACAAAAACAGGAAGACCAGGTGATTATAATGAAAGGGAACCAGGTGAAATTCAGACAGTGTTAAACGACTTTCTATTAAAACTCTACAAGGGGTTTTTAACCAAACCAGTGCTTTTTGTAAATTATTCCCCTATTGGTAGATGTTTCTTTTTTTGAGGATTGATGGTTCAGTAAAAAGAGAAACCAACAACTTTAGTTGTTAAGGGGTAATTATTAGTGTTGCACCAATACCGATCTAATATCAAGCGGGGCCCCGATCCAGCACTAAAATGGTGATATCAGTATCGGCGAGTATCAACCAATAGGGCACTGACACCATTTTGAGAGCCAGAAGTTTATTTAACTATTGTCCCAGATTCCAGGTAGGCAATAAAAAGTTCTACTGGATTCACTTTTTTTTTTTTTCTGCTTCACAAAGGTAGGCAGCAGCTTTTATTTTACATCTAAGTAGTGTGCAGTTCTTCAAACAGATGGTATCGGTATTGTATCAGTATCGATTGATAATGCACAGTCAGGTATCGAGTATCGTATTGGGGCCAAAAAATGGCATCGGAACAACACTAGTAATTTTAAATCACCTCTGAGGCTCTGATACCCTGATTAAACTTGTCATTTTTTGCACTGGCTTTACTTAAGAAACTAAGGAGAGTAAACTGATTTCTAATTTCCTCATGATTGATGGTTTGCTACATGAATGAGTTGAATGATTTTGGTTTACTGCAGGTGAATTCCCTTATTTTTTGTTAAACCATCAAAAACAATTGTTTTCTTGAAAACCAAAAATTAAAGGGGGGCCCACCAAGAAACGTTTGGGAACAACAAGATAATATATCTAATGACCAACTGTTGTATAAAAGAAAATATCTTGCTAGTTTCAGACATCAGCGTGGACTGGGCAGAATATAAAACACGAAGGCAACCTTAGCTCAGATATGCCCCTGATACAGCTCAGGTTCGTAGAATAGCATTTCTAAAAGCATATAAAACACCCTTATTAAAGTCATGTCTACAGCGCATTGGTTATTTTCTTTGCTAACCCAAGGCTGGTCCAATCATGTAGTGTCACAAAAACATTGTCAGTCGCAGAATATAGTGTAACATCAGCTTATCTGGTTTATAGATATTGATGCTTTTGCTTCATCATCCATCGGATCTGTATATCTGATGGGAAATGGAGTGGATCTGTGCATCATGCTGCAGTACAATAGTTTGTAAGAATTACCACACCAATTAGAAAAGCCTCTATTTATGATGGAATGGAGAATACATGGATAGAAGAGTCTGTGTGAATAAAGAGGTGAGTCAGTCTGGATGGCAAAGCTACCAAATATCCCCATATTTAGTCTCAGATATCTGGTTGGCTTAGACTATGAAGCTGATAACTGCTGTAATGTAAGAAACTGTTCCTATTGGTCGCATTTATGAAAACAGTAGTGCCAAGAAAATTCAAAAACATAGTAGTCTGTTTCTTGGGGTTTGCATGTTTGCAGTGGTTCTTGCAGCTTTGTTTTTTATTAATATAGTTACGTATAGGTTGAAATTTAGGAAAGTTGTGGTTTAGTTGTTTCCCGAAGGACACCTCTGAGAAGTGCTCAGCACATGGCTCCGCGTTTTTGTCTTTAGTCCAGAAAACCTTTCTCATATTACCATCTTGGTTTTTTTTTTTTGCTGTTGTGTTTGAACTCTTCTTACATTTTTTATCACTATAAAGGAAGAACTGATCATCTGGAAATGGGATTTCAATGCTATGTCTTATATCTGTTGTGGTATGCAGAAACATGTTAGGGGTGCACTTTTGTTAGAAACTAGACTTGCATATACATCCACTCAGCTGTCATCCATACCACACTCCCTAGAAGCTTTTCTCATTCATTGCCTAAATTCTGAATAATCAACTTTTTTTTTTTTTTTTTTTTTTTTTTTTTTTTTTTTTGTAAAGGTAAACTTCCCCCATTTTCCATTAAAGCATGTAGCTGGGTTTTTCTAGCTCTGTCTCTAACCTTTATATCTCACCTTTTCCAAAACATTTTCTAAACAATATTTACCAGGTCAGAGCATGATGTTTATATAATCATCTACACATTAACGATGTTGAACAATACTTAACATTTAATATTACTGAAGATTATAATGTCTGATTGATTACAGCAGTGCAAGAAGCCCATTGATGTCATATATGTTCTATTCCTTGTTGAAAGCAAGTATTTTTAAAAAGGATCCTTATAATAAGCCTAAAAAAATCCAATGAGCATTTTGTGTGATCACCAGAAACATCTCATGCCAAACAATACGTAAATTAGCTTGTATTTCTTATGAAGTTATTATCAATTTAACTTGGATCAGCATCACTAATCAAGCATTCTGATAGTGTGATTTAATTATTGCCTTAGTCAATGTGATAATTTAAAAGTTAGTGTTGCCATTTGCTAAGAATCATCATATCAGCTGAGAATAATATCAATATAGTTTAGTAGTTATATGAATTTCACTTGCCTAGATGAGAGATGTTAACTCAAATATATTTAACTAAGAGTTTACATTTTTCTATTAATAAGTTGTTTTTATTTGCCAATCACATCATGCCCCAAATCGATTTGGGCATGTATTCTCGGCAAAATACAGCAAAATCTACTTTATTTGCGAGGTATGCATACACCCATGAATAATTTGGCTTTGTACTGTTCATTGCTTAATGCAAAGACAGGTGCTCTGTAGCAACGGTTAGTTGCTGTTATTTCTCTCAGAAGTCATACCAGTAGATGACCACACACTTCTTTCAGCCTGATTTTATGAGAGATTTCGATGTGTTTCATCATTTATTACAACTGTTTTTTTCAAAGGTAATTAGGGTTGAGATTTTCTCTTTACAGTAATACCAGTATCGCCATGGTTTCTCAGTGGAAAAGTACAGACACTGATTAGTTAGAAATGTTTTGCATTTGTAATATTAACTGAGTGAGCTGTCTAGTTTGGTAAAACCTAGTAATTGTGGTTAATGCTAAAACCATGGGCAGATGCTGTGTCTAAGTTAAATAAAGTTATGCATCTAAGTCTGGCTTCATTTATTGAGTTTTATAGAAAACTCTTGTAAAGTTAGACTGAAGAAATGAAAGAAAATAGGGCTGAAGAAAAAAATTAAAACCTAAAACTAAACCTTGAGAGAAAAAAAACAGCTTAACTCAATAAACTGAATCGCAATCTAAATAAATAGAGAACTGATTTCGAAAAAATCAGAAACTGAATAGAATTTTTAACAATAACACATGTTGTTCGAAAAATAGAGTCAGTCTGTAAAAATCACTGGGGACATTTTAAAGTTGTTCAACAGGATTTTTATCAACCCAGCTTCCTCACTTGTCAACAGTTTTTAGTTTGCACTGAGGAAATCCCAGCACAACTGAGTCCGTCTGGTCTAATCACACTTTTACTGAATATCTAGAACAGAGACAATAAGAATGGCAGGACAGCAAATTCAGTGGAGATTGAAAAATCTGTACTTTGTATCTTTATTTTTTCTTCAATGCTGTTTCACCCATGCATCAGGTAAGTAACTGACACAGAGATGTTTGATTTATTTACCTCTTATTTGCACATTTATACTGTTAAACTCTTTTTTAGGAGGTCACCAACTTTGTGTAACCTTTGGGTGTTTTGACTCAAGTGGCACCTTCCTCACTGTGACATTGGATGATGATGAGGTGGGTTATGCAGATTTTAAAAACAATATTGGGGTTTTGAACAGCAAACTAGCAACAGCTGTTGAATATGAATGGGCTTACAAATATGCAGAAGTGTGTCAAGTTCAATGTGAAAAAGATATATATCGATGGAAAGTAGACCCAGATGTTAGAAGGACTACAGGTAGGTGAAGCTCGTCCTTTCAGTTGTTACTATTCAGCCAAATATTACAGGATCATAATTAAAGCATGAAAGAAATAACTTGTCAGTTGATTATTTTAAGCCGACCAGAAATGATTGTTTACCCGAGAGATGAGCTCATTGAAGATGAAGAGAACACCCTTGTGTGTTTCATCAACAAATTTTACCCTCCTGCGCTCAACATCAGTTGGACCAAGAACAATAAAGAAGTGGCAGTGGAAGACCCCTTCTTCAAAATTGTATCCAACTCTGATGGGACATTTCATGTCTTCTCCTATCTGAACTTTGTTCCAAAGCAAGGAGACATCTACAGCTGCCCTGTAAAACATGAGGCACTAGAGGAACCTGAGACCAGGACCTGGGGTGAGACATTAAAATCATTTTTTATATTCTTTGACTCAGTAAACATAATTGATCAAAACCTGAATTAACTTTACTTGTTTGTTTGCTACATGTCATGTTTTCTCTGCACTCTCATTCTCTTTAGATGTTGAAACGGAAGAGAGGAGTATAGGTCCAACTGTCTTCTGTATCTCTGGTTTGATTCTAGGGGTTCTTGGAATTGCTGGGGGAACTCTCCTTTTTGTGAAAGGATGCCCAAGATTTTGCTGATTAATCAATATTAGTGTTGCGC